AGATAAGCCTACGCCTAATACGCATTGCCGGGTGGTCCGTTCCCGTAAAAACGAACAAGTCTATGTATTCAACATCATAGCACCAAGTCTAAGAGAGTTTATTCTCTTAGCATAACGTTACATGCAGAACGAACTTAAATAATCTGCATGCTAGCCCGATTCAAACGGTAATCGGTAAAAGCTTCTCAAACCCGTTGAGGGCTGAGGGTTTGCCAAAAATCCTATAAATGCGATAATCACTGACGCACCAGCTTTATTAGTTGGTCTCGTGACTTGAGTATCTGACAAACTTAGGATAAAATTCATATCTGCAGATGAACCGACCTGAATAATTAGTCCTGCAGCCTCAACACTCAAGACTGCTATGCTCTAACGTTTTAAGTGTTTAAACTGTGTAGACTCCAGTAAACACACGAGGATAAACTATGTTAACGCCTGCCAACACGTCAATGATTTTTGCCAAAATAAGGCTAAGGAAAAAAGTCCAATGGATGATCTCAGGGGATTCAATTGCGATTCAGATATGAATTCTTAATGAAGAAAATCAGTTCAACATCAGTTCAACGACAAGAGCTAATTCACAAATCAAAACATCAGTTTCAGTTCAAGACTTTGACAAAGGTCAAGCCATAAACGCAGCACCGGAAGAATTTTAGCTATTCTACAAAGCACTGAGTAGACTAAAAGATGAAGAAGTCAACGCAGCACCGGAAGAATTTTAGCTATTCTACAAAGCACTGAGTAGACTAAAAGATGAAGAAGTCAACAAATTAACGGCCAGAGCTTATCATATCCAAAGTATTCCAGCCTCTTTTATAAAAGAATGAGGCTGAAACACTTTGGAGGGGTATCTGTAGGCATAAAAAAATTGCCTATAGGTTCTCGCATATAGCTCGAGATGAAAAAAGACGATGAATGTTACTATCCGAGTCAAGGAGGATTATCTGAGTCAAAGAAGATCATCTGATATTGTAGAGAAACTAAAAAGCACACGAAATAAGTCGGCGAAGCGTACGAGTCTGTGAAACATGCTAAACGATAAATGAACAACTCAACCAGGAGTTGTGCTTTATCCACAAAAGGGTGAAGTACCATGTGTGTCTCATCTACTCTATGAGTGTCTTGCCTATGGAAAGTTGTAGATCTCTTCATGAGCTTTCCAACACATCTTGGATCATCTTATTCTGAGATCGGACGAGGGAGTTAGAGCTAAAATACCCGAGATAACACAAACTGTCTTGGAAGTGCGAGACAGACTTCACTGTCTCGGAATGCGAGACAGTCATGACTGTCTCGCACCAAATCTGAAGAAGGTTAAAAGACAAAAGTTGTAGATCTCTTCATCAGATTTCTAACGTATCTTGGATCATCTCATTCCGAGATCGGACGAGGGAGTTAGAGCCAAAATACCCGAGATAACACAAACTGTCTTGGAAGTGCGAGACAGACTTCACTGTCTCGGAATGCGAGACAGTCATGACTGTCTCGCACCAAATCTGAAGAAGGTTAAAAGACAAAAGTTGTATATCTCTTCGTCATCTTTCCAACGTATCTTGGATCATCTCATTCCGAGATTGGACGAGGGAGTTAGAGCCAAAATACCCGAGACAACACAAACTGTCTCGGAAGTGCGAGACAGACTTCACTATCTCGGAATGCAAGACAGTCATGACTGTCTCGAACCAAATCTGAAGAAGGTTAAAAGATAAAAGTTATATATCTCTTCGTCAGCTTTCCAACGTATCTTGGATCATCTCATTCCGAGATCGGACGAGGGAGTTAGAGCCAAAATACCCGAGATAACACAAACTGTCTCGGAAGTGCGAGACAGACTTCACTATCTCGGAATGCAAGACAGTCATGATTGTCTCGCACCAAATCTGAAGAAGGTCAGACAAAAGTTGTAGATCTCTTTGTCAGCTTTCCAACGCATCTTGGATCATCTCATTCCGATATTGGACGAGGGAGTTAGAGCCAAAATACCCGAGACAGTACAAACTGTCTCGGAAGTGCGAGACAGACTTCACTGTCTCGGCTATAGAGTTGGTTACAACAAGTTTTTTGACGGTTTTTTGACGGTTTTTTGACTTCATAACTACTTAAGATCAATCATAAACGTGGGGAGATGGTTACAAACTGAAAAGAGACCCACTAACATCATAAAAGGATGATATTTAGGTAGTGGGACAATGATGACAAAAAGGGGGGCTGATTAGGGAGCATTTTAAGACGTTCTTCTCAAGAGAGAGAGGGGGTCTTCATCAAATTCGAGTGCAAACAGTAACTTTGGGATTCCTTGAGATTCGAGCTTTGACTTGATCTTAAGAAGAGTGATCGTCTTACTTTGATAAGATATTCACTTCAAATTCCTACTTCGATAAACGAAGGAAGAATCCTCAAAGCCTTCACGATTCAATCAGAATCCGTGATTTGGTGGTCCACGGGTTAACGCACTCCCGGCACAGGCAAAGATCCCGCGTAAGCAGCGATTCAAACAACGATGCTGCGTTTGTTTCTAAAAGTTGTAATTTTTCTTTTGTTGTGTAAAAGAAGTCTTATAAAAAAGCTATCTCTTTTCAAATTTGTTGTAATCGACCGAAGATATGATGAATTCCTCAACGAAACCAACTTTTGGCGAAAACAGGCATCTATGTCATTAGTCACGTCAAATGACAGTAAACATCCAATAAATTCCGTAAATATAGACATAAGTACATATACATTCACATACAGTCACCTCTCCTCTTCTGTTCATTTGTTAAACAAGATAACAATTGTATGCAGTTATGCACACATACACACTTCAACTTTTCCTAAAATGGAAACTCTTTGTCAGGTCATAATAAATAAAGTAGATACGTATCATTCTTTGACCAAGTATATATACGCATCTAAATCAGAATAAAACTCTCGATATTACATATGAAGCCTATCTTATGAGTTTTGGTCTTACTGGCAAATAAAACTAACACCAGATTACTTATTAATTATCGCGAGTCTCCAAATATTTCAACCTATGTAACCTTAAATTCTACCTGAATTGTGCTTCTAATTAAATTTCCATTTATCTAGGGACGTCAACACAGCAGCGGATCTACTACAAGCACAGAATCCAATTATGATGAACAATCAACCACAAATACATCGGAAACGACTGCTCAATGCATGTACAAGGCCTTACTAAAATTCGCAGTATTTATACTGGGCCTTTCATCCTCGGCCCAGTACAGCCTACTTTCTGCAAATCTTACAAAAAGGACCCCGGGAACTCTTTTTCTCTTCAGATCGATCTGCGTCTTGTTGACAACCGCGCAATTTTGCAGTATGGCCATGATTCTGATTTTTTTCATTTGTCACCCTAGACAATGTCGCCTTGCAGTTCTCAGGGCTATTTGTATTGTTACTTCGCTTTTGTTCCTCGTGTCAGGTGTCCTTGCTCTAATTTTGCTTCTCAACGTTGTATGACTGATAGTTGCCGTCGAGGGAAGTTGTATTGTTGTATTTAAGCTTCTATATGTTATAGCTTTATTTGCATTTACATGTGCAAACTTGTGTCCTTCGAAAGATACGTATCACTTCTGATATGATTTGAACTGGAATGAAATTAGAAATTATGGAGCTAGCATGTGTAAATCATGTAAATCACATTAGGAACAATTTTTAAAATTTTTGATTCTATCGGATCCTCAAAAATAGCAAAAGTTCTACATTCTCTATCACAATCATTCATCAATGTAGCGGAGGATTATGAGTCATTCTAAATCGTAGGCTTCATCTAATTTTATGATGTGACTTCATTCATTACGGAACACGAGTTATTTGCTCCCTTCTTATAGCTCTTTCATGGTATATTGTGTGTTCAATAACTAATTATTAAAACGGCGGTACAAATTTATTAGAACGCCCGAATAGAAAATAATATGATCTAAGATATTAAAAATTATTATTAAAAGATAAATCGTTTCATTACTTTTTTCATGTACCGCATGACCAGAGGTCACTACTACGGGACCGGCGACCGGCCCACAAAGAACCAGTTCAGGCTAAACGAATATCTACCGTCCACGTGGCACATCCCAATCAGACGGTCATCTCAATAAGAGTTTCTCTCCGCTCTTTCGTCCTTTCCTTTTTAAATACTCTAGCAATTCCTCTTCGCCATCTCTCTCTCTGACTCCGCCGCTTCATTATTCTAGGGTTTGTCTGTTATTGTTATTTTTTCCCTTCTCTTTTTTCTCTCTGACTCCGCCGCTTCATTATTCTAGGGTTTGTCTGTTATTGTTATTTTTTCCCTTCTCTTTTTCGAATTATATTTTCAAAATATTTCTTTTATTTCATTTAGAAGTTTGAATGAGAAAGGGCTGAGGTGATGATCCTTTCCCCAAATGAATATTTCTTTTATTTCATTTAGAAGTTTGAATGAGAAAGGGCTGAGGTGATGATCCTTTCCCCAAATGATCGACTCTGATTATAATATGCGCACTTTAATTTTCTCTTCGGAGAAATCAAGCCAATGATTCTTATCGCCCTTCATTCATCCCTTCAATCAATCTTAATGTCTTCGTTAATTACTTTTATTTGGATTATTTTTTTGAGCCTATATTTGCTATTTCACTGTTAGTACAGATTTTGATTAAAAAAATTTAAATACATTTACTAATTAATCTTATTATATCACGTAATCTTCACATTGCACATTTAACAATAATTTTGTTTGTTAAGCGAACAATATATTTCACTCCCATACTTATATGGATGTGAAAGTCATTTGTAAAAAAACAAAAAGGTAACTTACATGTTTTCAATTCACTTTCAAACAGCTAAACAGGGGTTTTTTCTGACATTTTGAAAGTCATGGAGGGTTAAGCTAGCAATCGGCCAAAGTTAAGGGTGGTTTTCTGATATTTATTTAGCTAGCCCGTCACCAAATCAGCGCGACTGCCTCACACGGCACTCCATAACGCAAAGCGGAGATCCACGACGAATAGAAATATCAAATCAGCGCGACTGCCTCACACGGCACTCCATAACGCAAAGCGGAGATCCACGACGAATAGAAATATATCCAAATAAACCCCGCACGTTTCACTCAACCAACAGAAAAAAAATAAGAAGGGAAACCCCCGAAAAAGGGCAAATGCTGTCTCTTCGATCCCATCAGCATCTTCTTCTTCGTGATTCTCTTCACTATTTCTCTTCAATTTCTCCTTGGAGATCAGCGATGAGATTTGGGGCAGCGTCGGCAACGGCTTCGCCTTACAGCACAGCGTCGAGATTGCTTTTCCGGCAGTTGTTCGAGAAGGAATCGTCGACTTATACTTATCTCCTTGCCGATCTACGCCACCCCCAAAAGCCCGCTGTGGTAAAAAAAATTTGATTTTTTACGACGATTATTAGCTTAACTCGTGCAAATGTGTTATGTGACTTGAATTTTTCACTCAAATTATCTGCCTATCATCGACTATTTCATGTCAAAGTTTCAATTGAGGACCAATTTCAAAACTTTTTCAGAGAATAGTTTGTTCTAACTTTTAGTTTTCTCGGAACCCAATCGTTGAATATGCTCATTCATGAGAAAATTCTCTTGTGAATTCTTGGGGTTTTGTCCTGTGTTAAGCCGTTTAGTTTGAATTTTTATCCGTTCTAGACTAATTGATGATGCTTTTGTCATTTTGGGATGTTAATGGCATTGTTCTAACTTTTATCTTTCAATAATTTTAAATGCCTTAATAAGTTAGACATTGGTTTGTGCTCGCAGGTTCAAAATGTTAATAATAATAATAATAATAATAATAATAATAATAATAATAATAATAATAATAATAATAATAATAATAAATAATAATAATAATAATAATAATAATAATAATAATAATAATAATAATAATAATAATAATAATAATAATAATAATATCTCACAGAGTAGTCCACAAGATTCTCATGCATTTTTATGCCTGCCTCAGATTCAGGTTATTTAGATTTGCTAAATTTGATTTCCTTTTGCAGCTGCTTGATCCAGTAGACAAAACAGCAGACCGAGATTTAGCTCTTATTAGAGACCTGGGTTTGAAACTCATCTATGCAATGAATACCCATGTGCATGCTGATCATGTGACCGGAACGGGCTTAATAAAGGTTGGTTGCACTTCTATGGTTCGATTTTGCTTAAATGCTTAGCGAATGACTTCAATGGCTCATTTTAATATGAATAGCTATAGATTTGTTTGTTCAGTGACTTCAGTTATTTCTACTCTTTTAGTTTGAGTTTCCAAAGCTTCTTAGTATGCACTGATATGAGGCATTTTCTGTAGACCAAGATGCCTGGCGTGAAGTCTGTCATTTCAAAAGCTAGCCAAGCAAAAGCAGATCATGTGGTTGAACATGGTGACAAAATACATTTCGGAAACCTGTTCCTAGAGGTATGTCTACCTGGAGCCTGAATATATTTCATAAAGTGTGAATGAGTACTGTAAACTTTGATCAATTCTGTACTTGCGCACATTGCCTGATGATGATGATATAGAAAAAAGAATACAGTTTGGATCCCGTGCAATAATCTGTGATCTCTGATGATGATGATATAGAAAAAAGAATACAGTTTGGATCCCGTGCAATAATCTGTGATCTTTTTCTCATGTGTAGTTTAATGAAAGGGGCAAAGAATACAGTTTGGATCCCGTGCAATAATCTGTGATCTTTTTCTCATGTGTAGTTTAATGAAAGGGGCGTAAACAGTATCAGTTGCATAACCTACTCAGATAGTTTGATACTCGTTGGTTAGGTGTCAGATGTTTCTTTGACTTATACTGAAACTTGTGAAGGATCCTAAATATATTGATGACATATCACAGATCTCTATGGTATTCAGCAATAAAATCAAATGTATGATGGGTTCACTATTTTTTATTTCTTATATGCTTCACATATATGTAGTAGTTTACCCAGTTTCTTATTTAGGATTTTAAAGTCCTAGATATGACTATGCCTGTAGCTGATGATCTGCAGCTTCAAAATGTTACATGATATGCTAAACATTACACTCTTTTTTATGTTTCTAACCTCAAAAGTTCATCCTGAGATATGTGAACATTAAAACAAGTCCACATTAATTTTCTTATTGCCTTACTAGAAGTATCATTAGTCTATTTTTTAAGATTTATGAGTCTGCATACCCGTATAGAGTTGTATTGCTATCGTTATCGGTCTTCTGGTGCATCTTGTGTCCACATATAGTTTTATTTGTATTCGTGAAGTATCAGTCACATAACCTGCTTGGATCACATTGTACGATCAAATCATGCCAATGTCATAACCTACTTGGATCACATATAGAGTTGTATTGCCATCGTTATCGGTCTTCTGGTGCATCTTGTGTCCACATATAGTTTTATTTGTATTCATGAAGTAGCAATCACATAACCTACTTGGATCACATCGTACGATCAAATCATGCCAAAGTCAGTGTTCATGCTTCACATGCTATGGTATAGATGCAGTGAACTCTATTTAACTACCTAGACAACAAGGGCCAGCAAAAAATTTCTTCCATGGACATCTAAGCGACTCCAAGGATAACATTAATACCTAAGAAACTTAAATTTTAGGAATATTTTTGATTGACAAATGTGCTTAACCATACATGGGCTATAATTTTTTGTTAAATTGATAGAAGTTAATGAACCTAACAACTTTTCCATAATTAACATGCTATATTGTGTCATCATCAAATATATAAATCTCATGCATAAAATGTATACTTGTTCTAGACAGTGGCCCTGAACCAGCAGATTTATGAACTGGCTCAGTACTGAAAATTTTCGTACCTGGTTACTTTCTACACATTAAGATCTTAAACTTATACAGGTGCGTGCAACACCTGGTCACACTTTGGGTTGTGTTACATATGTAACTGGGGAAGGACCTGATCAACCTCATCCAAGGATGGCTTTTACTGGTGACGCCTTGCTCATACGTGGCTGTGGAAGGACAGATTTTCAGGTAACACATCAGCTTGATTTCTTGTATCCCTCTTGAGCTTGAGTATATAGAAGTTTCTTCCAAGAAATGGTCAAGCATATAAAAAATGAAGGTCAAAGATAACAATGATCATGATGGCTTGCATTGATTGCTCATTGTTGTCTTGAAAAGGGAAAATAAGTTTATTTGGCACTGGGCCTTGTTTTAGGCACTGGGAAGCTTTAAAATAAATCTGAGCTAGGAAGTTTTGATGATTTCAATATCAAAAGAGATATATGCTTGATAGCATAGTCTACTGGTTGGAAACAATTTAATTTTCTTTGGTGAAGATCATTTTCTCTTAAAGCTGGCAAGCTTTGGCATGGAGAGCTGAAATTCAGACTGTATATTCTGGAAAAAGAAGTACATATCTTTTATGAAAAAGTCAATTGCAAACGATCATACGTTTGACGTGGAATTTTTTAAGGTTTAAATTTGATATCTAGATATGTGAAATTAACCATCAGGTATTAATTTGGAAAGTAAGTTAGGACTACAATAAACCATTGTCATCATCATTTTTTCCAATGGGGCACTTTCTCCCGTTGATGAATTCTTTTCGAAATATTGAGAGATTTGACTGTTATTTCTGACCTAAGCAAATCACTTACTTTTGTTGCCAAGTCTATGCAACTAAGAGTGGAGTGATTTGCTTTAAAACCTTGAAATCCAGCTGTTAGATAGTTGCTTCTATCCTTTTTTACCATGCATTTTAAGCTCCTGTAACCAAGGATAAACTTTCAAAACACCCTAGATGTGGAAACAATAGACTTAGTGGAGAAAGGCAGTAAGGCTTACAATATGGAATTGGCATAATGAACCAAAGAGCTCATATAGTACTATATTTAATCTAATCATTGAATTCTTCAAAGCCACATTGAATTCTTCAAAGCCACAATTTGTTCAGACTTTTATGCTGGTATTTAATCTAATCATTTGTACGTTCGGAATGCAAACGCGAGAGAAACATTGAAAAATTAGACAAGTAGATCGGATTTTGTTTAACCTTAAATGATTTGTACAACAGGGAGGAAGTTCACATCAACTTTATCAATCAGTGCATTCTCAGGCAAGCAGATGAAATTTGCGAAAACATTTTCAAAATCATATACAGAGGAGTATTATCTAACCATTTTTTTTTCTTTTTCTTTTTCTTTTGGTGAACAGATATTCGCATTGCCAAAGGATACTCTAATATACCCTGCTCATGACTATAAAGGATTCACAGTAAGCAACTGTTATTTCTTTTAAACTTTGTGAACTTTCCCCCAGTTTCTGCTTAATTCAAACATACATCATGTTCGTGCAGGTCAGCACAGTTGGAGAGGAGATGATTCTCAACCCTCGGCTAACAAAGGATGAGGTAATTCCTCGACAGAGCCTGTCATTATAGTAGTGTATGATTATTCATTTGAGTATTCTACAAGTCCATAAGCATAAAAATGTTGTACTTTTATATTAAAGGGGCCTTTATATAATACTTGTACAAAAAGCAAAATAATTCAGAAATCATTATTTTTTGCGATCTTCATATCTTATCATCTTACATTAATTGCTTGTACTATTCTCTTATTAATTGAAGGGTAAATTTTGCTTTCTAACTCGTCTCTTATATATTTTGCAGGAAACCTTCACAAGTATCATGAAAAGTGAGTCATTTTACCATTCCGAATCTTATTCTACCAAATTTTAATATCTACAATTGAGAATATCTAACACAGAAATGGCTTCCCCCCCCTCTAGATTTGAACCTGGCATACCCAAAGATGATTGATGTAGCGGTGCCAGCAAACTTGGCTTGTGGATTTCAAGATAGCACGCCAGAGGCTCGAGCATCAGCTTAGGCTCAATAGAGCAGGTTCAGCCTGCAGTAATATAATACTGTTAAAGAAATTAAGAAAGCAATCTCTACGTATATCGTTTGAACGCATCATTACGATGAAATGGTTTGTGCTCACAGGAAGCTACCCTTGTATATTGAAGCTTTCTCTGGTTAAAAATAAAAGCGAGCAAAACCAGTGACCTTGTGATATTATTGAGACTGTTATGTTATTAAGGTGCCTCTTCATGCCATTCCTTTTCCATTATGCAACTCCCTGCTGAATCAATAGCTCACAAAATTTGTTACTGAAAACAATTACTGTTGCTGTATAACTAATCGTAAACATTACTGTTGCTGTAAAACTATCGTGTAAGTGTTGGAGTTTGAGTCTTGAGGGGAGCAGAAATGTTTGTAACTTTTGAAGCAACAATTGTTTGTGAAAGATAGTCTATGATATGGGTGATAAAGAAGCTAAGGCTAAGACGTTAGTTCTATAGATGTTGTATTAATATTTTTCTAGCTATTCATTGTAGTAATATCTTTATAATAAATTCTAGCTCTGTACATGTTTTTGTTTTACTTACAAACTGATATTTATAGGAGTATTGAAGAACCTTTTGAGTAACCCATCAACATTTCCAAATTCATGTTTGATGCATGGGGAACTCTATCTCGATTCCTTATTAGAGATAAGTCTACGCCTAATACGCATTGCCGGGTGGTCTGTTCCCGTAAAAACGAACAAGTCTATGTATTCAACATCATAGCACCAAGTCTAAGAGAGTTTATTCTCTTAGCATAACGTTACATGCAGAACGGACTTAAACAATCTGCATTCTAGCCCGATTCAAACGGTAATCGATAAAATCTTCTCAAACCCGTTGAGGGCTGAGAGTTTGCCAAAAATCCTATAAATACGATAATCACTGACGCACCAGCTTTATTAGTTGGTCTCGTGACTTGAGTATCTGACAAACTTAGGATAAAATTCATATCTGCAGATGAACCGACCTGAATAATTGGTCCTGCAGCCTCAACACTCAAGACTGCTATGCTCTAACGTTTTAAGAGTTTAAACTGTGTAGACTCCAGTAAACACACGAGGATAAACTATGTTAACGCCTGCCAACATGTCAATGATTTTTGCCAAAATAAGGCTAAGGAAAAAAGTCCAATGGATGATCTCAGGGGATTCAATTGCGATTCAGATATGAATTCTTAATGAAGAAAATCAGTTCAACATCAGTTCAACGACAAGAGCTAATTCACAAATCAAAACATCAGTTTCAGTTCAAGACTTTGACAACGGTCAAGCGATAAACCCAGCGCCGGAAGAATTTTAGCTATTCTACAAAGCACTGAGTAGACTAAAAGATGAAGAAGTCAACGAATTAACGGCCAGAGCTTATCATATCCAAAGTATTCCAGCCTCTTTTATAAAAGAATGAGGCTGAAACACTTTGGAGGGGGTATCTGTAGGCATAAAAAAATTATCTATAGGTTCTCGCATATAGCTCGAGATGAAAAAAATACGATGAATGTTACTATCCGAGTCAAGGAGGATTATTTGAGTCAAAGAAGATCATCTGATATTGTAGAGAAGCTAAAAAGCACACGAAATAAGTCGGCGAAGCGTACGAGTCTGTGAAACATGCTAAACGATAAATGAACAACTCAACCAGGAGTTGTGCTTTATCCACAAAAGGGTGAAGTACCATGTGTGTCTCATCTACTCTATGAATGTCTTGCCTATGGAAAGTTATAGATCTCTTCATGAGTTTTCCAACGCATCTTGGATCATCTTATTCTGAGATCGGACGAGGGAGTTAGAGCCAAAATACCCGAGATAACACAAACTGTCTTGGAAGTGCGAGACAGACTTCACTGTCTCAGAATGCGAGACAGTCATGACTGTCTCGCACCAAATCTGAAGAAGGTTAAAAGACAAAAGTTGTATATCTCTTCGTCAGCTTTCCAACGTATCTTGGATCATCTCATTCCGAGATCGGACGAGGGAGTTAGAGCCAAAATACCCGAGACAACACAAACTGTCTCGGAAGTGCGAGACAGACTTCACTATCTCGGAATGCAAGACAGTCATGACTATCTCGCACCAAATCTGAAGAAGGTTAAAAGATAAAAGTTGTAGATCTCTTCGTCAGCTTTCCAACGCATCTTGGATCATCTCATTCCGATATTAGACGAGGGAGTTAGAGCCAAAATACCCGAGACAGTACAAACTGTCTCGGAAGTGCGAGACAGACTTCACTGTCTCGGCTATAGAGTTGGTTACAACAAGTTTTTTGACGGTTTTTTGACGGTTTTTTGACTTCATAACTACTTGAAATCAATCATAAACGTGGGGAGATGGTTACAAACTGAAAAGAGACCCACTAACATCATAAAAGGATGATATTTAGGTAGTGGGACAATGATGACAAAAAGGGGGGCTGATTAGGGAGCATTTTAAGACGTTTTTCTCAAGAGAGAGAGAGGGGGTCTTCATCAAATTCGAGTGCAAACAGCAACTTTGGGATTCCTTGAGATTCGAGCTTTGACTTGATCTTAAGAAGAGTGATCGTCTTACTTTGATAAGATATTCACTTCAAATTCCTACTTCGATAAACGAAGGAAGAATCCTCAAAGCCTTCACGATTCAATCAGAATCCGTGATTTGGTGGTCCACGGGTTAACGCACCCCCGGCACAGGCAAAGATCCCGCGCAAGCAGCGATTCAAACAACGATCCTGCGTTTGTTTCTAAAAAGTTGTAATTTTCCTTTTGTTGTGTAAAAGAAGTCTTATAAAAAGGCTATCTCTTTTCGAATTTGTTGTAATCGACCGAAGATATGATGAATTCCTCAACGAAACCAACTTTTGGCGAAAACAGGCATCTATGTCATTAGTCACGTCAAATGACAGTAAACATCCAATAAATTCCGTAAATATAGACATAAGTACATATACATTCACATACAGTCACCTCTCCTCTTCTGTTCATTTGTTAAACAAGATAACAATTGTATGCAGTTATGCACACATACACACTTTAACTTTTCCTAAAATGGAAACTCTTTGTCAGGTCATAATAAATAAAGTAGATACGTATCATTCTTTGACCAAGTATATATACGCATCTAAATCAGAATAAAACTCTCGATATTACATATGAAGCCTATCTTATGAGTTTTGGTCTTACTGGCAAATAAAACTAACACCAGATTACTTATTAATTATCGCGAGTCTCCAAATATTTCAACCTATGTAACCTTAAATTCTACCTGAATTGTGCTTCTAATTAAATTTCCATTTATCTAGGGACGTCAACACAGCAGCGGATCTACTACAAGCACAGAATCCAATTATGATGAACAATCAACCACAAATACATCGGAAACGACTGCTCAATGCATGTACAAGGCCTTACTAAAATTCGCAGTATTTATACTGGGCCTTTCATCCTCGGCCCAGTACAGCCTACTTTCTGCAAATCTTACAAAAAGGACCCCGGGAACTCTTTTTCTCTTCAGATCGATCTGCGTCTTGTTGACAACCGCGCAATTTTGCAGTATGGCCATGATTCTGATTTTTTTCATTTGTCACCCTAGACAATGTCTCCTTGCAGTTCTCAGGGCTATTTGTATTGTTACTTCGCTTTTGTTCCTCGTGTCAGGTGTCCTTGCTCTAATTTTGCTTATCAACGCTGTATGACTGATAGTTGCCGTCGAGGGAAGTTGTATTGTTGTATTTAAGCTTCTATATGTTATAGCTTTATTTGCATTTACATGTGCAAACTTGTGTCCTTCGAAAGATACGTATCACTTCTGATATGATTTGAACTGGAATGAAATTAGAAATTTTCCTCTGATCTAGTTGTTGAGACCTTGGATGGTCGTCTCTGGATCTTTGGAGTGGTACTACAGGCACACCCTTCCACCACACCTTGGGGCACACCCCTCTCACAGCTACAGTGCACGGGGCCCACTTTAGATTTTTAAAAAAATCTAAAGTGGGCCCTGTGCGCTGTAGCTGTGAGAGGGGTGTGCCCCAATGTGTGGTGGAAGGGTGTGCATGTAGTGTTATTTTTTTTTTATGTACCGCATGACCAGAGGTCACTACTACGGGACCGGCCCACAAAGAACCAGTTCAGGCTAAACGAATATCTACCGTCCACGTGGCACATCCGAATCAGACGGTCATCTCAATAAGCACTCTAGGGTTTCTCTCCGCTCTTTCGTCCTTTCCTCTGCAAATACTCTAGCAATTCCTCTTCGCCATCTATCTCTCTGACTCCGCCGCTTCATTATTCTAGGGTTTGTCTGTTATTGTTATTTTTTCCCTTCTCTTTTTCGAATTATATTTTCAAAATATTTCTTTTATTTCATTTAGAAGTTTGAATGAGAAAGGGCTGAGGTGATGATCCTTTCCCCAAATGAATATTTCTTTTATTTCATTTAGAAGTTTGAATGAGAAAGGGCTGAGGTGATGATCCTTTCCCCAAATGAGATTATAATATGCGCACTTTAATTTTCTCTTCGGAGAAATCAAGCCAATGATTCTTATCGCCCTTCATTCATCCCTTCAATCAATCTTAATGTCTTCGTTAATTACTTTTATTTGGATTATTTTTTTGAGCCTATATTTGCTATTTCACTGTTAGTACATATTTTGATTAAAAAAATTTAAATACATTTACTAATTGATCTTATTAAATCACGTAATCTTCACATTGCACATTTAACAATAATTTTGTTTGTTAAGCGAACAATATATTTCACTCCCATACTTATATGGATGTGAAAGTCATTTGTAAAAAAACAAAAAGGTAACTTACATGTTTTCAATTCACTTTTAAACAGCTAAACAGGGGTTTTTTTCTGACATTTTGAAAGTCATGGAGGGTTAAGCTAGCAATCGGCCAAAGTTAAGGGTGGTTTTCTGATATTTATTTAGCTAGCCCGTCACCAAATCAGCGCGACTGCCTCACACGGCACTCCATAACGCAAAGCGGAGATCCACGACGAATAGAAATATCAAATCAGCGCGACTGCCTCACACGGCACTCCATAACGCAAAGCGGAGATCCACGACGAATAGAAATATCCAAATAAACCCCTCACGTTTCACTCAACCAACAGAAAAAAAAATAAGAAGGGAAACCCCTCGAAAAAGGGCAAATGCTGTCTCTTCGATCCCATCAGCATCTTCTTCTTCGTGATTCTCTTCACTATTTCTCTTCAATTTCTCCTTGGAGATCAGCGATGAGATTTGGGGCAGCGTTTGCAACGGCTCCGCCTTACAGCACAGCGTCGAGATTGCTTTTCCAGCAGTTGTTCGAGAAGGAATCGTCAACTTAGACTTATCTCCTTGCCGATCTACGCCACCCCCAAAAGCCCGCTGTGGTAAAAAAAAAATTGGTTTTTTACGACGATTATTAGCTTAACTCATGCAAATGTGTTACGACAGATAATTTGAGTGAAAAATTCAAGTCCCATAACATATTTGCATGAGTTAAGCTAATAATCGTCGTAAAAAATCAAAATTTTTTTACCACAGCGGGCTTTTGGGGGTGGCTTAGATCGATAAGGAGATAAGTATAAGTCGACGATTCCTTCTCGAACAACTGCCGCAAAAGCAATCTCGACGCTGTGCTGTAAGGCGAAGGCGTTGCCGACGCTGCCTCAAATCTCATCGCTGATCTCCAAGGAGAAATTGAAGAGAAATAGTGAAGAGAATCACGAAGAAGAAGATGCTGATGGGATCGAAGAGACAGCATTTGCCCTTTTTCGGGGGGTTTCCCTTCTTATTTTTTTTTTCTGTTGGTTGAGTGAAACGTGATGGGTTTATTTGGATATTTCTATTCGTCGTGGATCTCCGCTTTGCGTTATGGAGTGCCGTGTGAGGCAGTCGCGCTTATTTGGTGACGGGTTAGCTAAATAAATATCAGAAAACCACCCTTAACTTTGGGCGATTGCTAGCTTAACCCTCCATGACTTTCAAAATGTCAGAAAAAAACCCCTGTTTGGCTGTTTGAAAGTGAATTGAAAACATGTAAGTTACCTTTTTTGTTTTTTTACAAATGACTTTCACATCCATATAAGTATGGGAGTGAAATATATTGTTCGCTTAACAAACAAAATTATTGTTAAATGTGCAATGTGAAGATTACGTGATATAATAAGATTAATTAGTAAATGTATTTAAATTTTTTTAATCAAAATCTGTACTAACAGTGAAATAGCAAATATAGGCTCAATCAAAATATAAGTTACCTTTTTATTTTTTTTGCAAATGACTTTCAAATCCATATAAGTATGGAAGTGAAATATATTGTTTGCTTACCAAGCAAAATTATTGTTAAATATGCAATGTGAAGATTATGTGATATAATAATATTAGTTAGTAAATGTATTTAAAAAAATTTAATCAAAACCTGTACAAACAGTGAAATAACAAATATAGGCTCAATCAAAATGTTGAATAACTACAATTTTCAACTTTAAAATGTATTACTTATAGGAAAAGTTTAGGTTGTTTTCCTCGAAGCCGTTCTAACTTTGTTTCTCAAATTAAACTCTCCTTACTTTACCAACGAATTCCCTACCTTTATTTTTGTTGCCACATAAGTCAAAATTGGAGCTTCCGATCCTCGTCATTAATTATTTTTAAAAAAATTCAAAACCTCATGTATTTTCTGACAAATTTCGCCTATTGGAAATTATAAAAATATAAATTAATTTTTTTCAAAAAATAGAAGCATTAAAATGAGAATACGTTTCGATGTTCAAAACTGACGGTGTTTAAAATTGGGGGCCTATGTCGAGAAAGTTTAGGGGCTTAGTAAGGGGAAAAAGAACAAAATCGGGGGTCTGGACTAGTGGCGCACGAATTCGGGTAGTTTTTGAAATTTAGGGGCTGTTTGTTTGCATAAGGGGGAAGGGGAAAGCTTGCCAAAAGTAATAGTTTTGACAAGTTTTTTTTTGCCAAAAGTGATAGGTTTAACATGCTTTCAACTCATTCCCGCTCTAAAAGAGGGGACTGACGTGCTCTTACCGTGTTGTTCATAGCTAGGGATGTTAAATGGGTGGGTTTGGGTGTTAAATGGGCGGGCCATAAATGGGCGGGCAGGTTTTGCCCGTTTACCCATTTATGGTCCATTTAACATTTTCTAAATGGGCGGGTTTTTGCCCGCCCATTTAATAAACTTTCTCGCAATAAATGTAGGGTTGAGGCATTTGCCATTTATAAGTGTAAATTTAATTATGAAGATAACTGGAAAAAGTTAATTGGGCTTCTTAACAGAAATTTAGTCACCGGGTGTTCACCATTAACATAACAACAACGTAAATGGTTTTTGGCAACACCAGGAGACAATTTATTATCGGCATCAGGGAAAAAGAGGAAACCAAGAAGGAAAACGGTTACCTCGGCAAAGCTGCCTCTTAAATTCCAAATATAACTTTAAAAGAAGATTGAATTCCTATTTGATTAGCAGGTATGCACATGAATTCTTACACCACCTTCACATAAAACTACATCCCAAACAAAATGGTGATGATATTAGGGGCTGTTTGGTTGAGTTGTTCTATAGTAAACTTTATAGAAAATGATTGATAGTGACAGTTTTATAAATAAAAATTTTATGGAGATTTCTATTAAATGTGTTTGGTTCAAAAAAATATTACTATAAAATACAGAAAAGTACCTCATTTTATAGAAATCAATTTTCGCTCAAAATTGGCTAAAGCATATATATTAAAAAATAATTAGGTATATTAGTACTATTCTCATGGGCATTGTTAGTAAACAATATTCTATATCGTAACATCCAGTCAAACAAAAGAAAAAACAACAACATATTTTCTATAAAGTTGGAAATTTTTTCATACTTTAAACCAAACAAAGAAATATCAAAAAAATAAGAAATGATACTCTTTTGAGTTCCATAAATTCAATTTTATAGAAATACAAGAAAATCAAATTTTTGAGTACTTTCCTTTTTCCAAATTGAACCAAACAGCCCCTTAGCATTGGCATTTCGTTAGTTCGTTGTCAACTGAAAGCCCACACCCAATAGAAAAACAGTTGCCCTGTATCTTGTAGACACAAGAGCAAATCTAGGTGGGTCGCAATAAAAAACGTTGAATTCCAAAGCATTGAAGTTATGGTGATCGATTCCGCTCAGCATGAAATTCTCTGGATCAAAGAATCCTAGGAATTAGAGTTTCATATTTTGAGGTTCAACAAGCGCATAAAAAGCATGAAACCATAACAACAAAGCTACATCCAAGTAAGCAATGGACCAGAATCCTCTTATAACAGGAAATGTAGGCACAAGGTGCTCCCCATTAACCTAATGATAAAAGGTAAATTGGAAATGTAACACCAAGTAATTTGGATCATTTGAACGGTAGGTACCCTCCACGAGTCCATACATGAGGTGTGCCAGCAGCCAAACTGTACTAATACGAAGGCTGAATTGCACCTAAACTCCCTAGAGTTCCACCACTTAACTTCTTCTTAACCCGCCAAACACAAAAAAAATTAATAGAAGAGTAAAAGCTAGTTAGCCCTCTATAATTTGTCAAATGTAAAAAATACATAAGAGTTAAGCTAACCCCTCCAGAGAGATTAAAATGAGTTAACCCCTCAAAATGAGAGGTTTACTAATTAATATTCCTATTTAGAATGACAAATAGTTAATCGTTCTATTTATAAAGAAAATAGTCAAAATCCTCGTTATTCCCAAACATTAAAATCGATCACAATAGTCAAAATAAAACTTATTTAAGGAGTTAATAATTTAGTCCTTCATGTTATCGAATGAGCTAACTACGTTAATTCTTCTCCTTAATCCATCTTTCTTAAATTTTTGCCAAACAGGGCCTACAGCATTTAATTGTTTCTTATAAATAGCCTATAGTTAAAAGAGAGTTATATTATAGAAATCACCTTTAAAATAGGGTCATTCGATTGAAGCCACATTGGATTTTGAATTTATAAATAAACTATTTTTAATATTTTTTGTTGAAATCAACCACCTGAGCCCACTTTTAAGTCAAAATTTTTCAATTTTGTTATGATAATTAGTAGCCAATACCAAGTACATTAGAAAGATTATTCTTAATTGAGGTTAGGCAAGGCTAATTACTTGAAAAAATTTACTAAAACATGGGCTCATGTGGTTGATTGAAATAAAAAATGATGCGAATGTGGTTTCTGTATAAATTAAAAACAAAATAGAGTGACTTTATTTTAAAAATGATTTTTATTAAAATAAAAACCCAGACGACGTTAAATTTTCTTTACGTGTCCACGTATATCACATTAGAGAGAGTACTAAAGTGAAACTTTTTAAAAAATGTTAAGGTATCTGAGTGAGGCCATTTACAATTTGAATTTATATGTAACATTGGATAAAAAAGAGGGCACCAACGTGCAACATTAGAACAAGAGGACACCAATGTGTAATATTTTGAAATGTTGAGACATTTATCTTATAATATATAAATACTTTAGAGGCATTTAAGTGCACAGTTTTAAATATAAGACATTTAAGTGCAAGATTGGTGAAATTATAGTGCATTTAACTGCAATTAAGCCTAATACAAAGGACTTGACAGAGCAGTTCATCTGAAAGCTTGTTACGTTATTTAATGCCAATTTACCTCGCCGCTTATTTGTGTAAACGGAACAGTGTGGATTAGTGAACCAAACAAGGAGATTCACACAACATCTACAGATCTTGTTCATTTTGAAAATCTCCGAGAATATAGTCTAAAGAGCCCCTAAGTTCTATCTTTTTTTTTTAAAGAAGTCCCTTGCTTTCTAATTTTGATCCTCCTAAATTGTACTCATCTTTTTTAGGAAGCTCCTAACTTTTTTATTTTTGACAAACACGTCCCTAAGTTCTACCCCTCTCTTCTAAAAAGCCTCCGACTTTCTTTTCTTGATAATGAAATCTCTAAGTTAACAAGAAAACTTTAGGTTTTCTTAGAAGTGAAGGGTAAAATTTAAGGGCTTCTTAGTAGGAAATGGTAAGATTTGGGGGTTTTATTATCAAAAATAGAAATTTAGAGGCTTCCTAGAAAATAGGGGGAAACTTGGGGGCTTTTCTATAAAAAAAAAAAAATAGAAACCTGAGAGCTTTTTAGACAAATGGATTAAAACTTCGGAGCTCTTTAGACGGAGCACTTTAGACTATCTACTCGCAAGTCCCCTATGGAACCTGAATTGTTCTTTCTTTTATAGTAAAGTTTCCATCTCTCATAACATTTTCTATCTTTCCAGCGATATTGGAGTCCAACTTTAACACACGGCATGAGCAACACCAGTTCAGTATTGCTAGAGAAAGCAACGGGCTAGTAATCATAAACCAAATATATGATCGTACCAAAGAAACAAACTTGTTTAAGTTTAAGAAAATTAATAACACAAGACTACATATTTATACTGCTGAATTTACATGGAGCTTAAGAAAATTAATAACACTCGGCTACATAATTATACAAATAACACGACGCAGGCAGGATTCGGAATTTGAGTACAGATGTACACCGATAACAGCTTTATTTCATTGTTGCGCTACTCACCATTGATTACCATGCTTCGTCGCACCAACAATCACAGCAACAGCAGCAACAACAGCCTGTTTGTACAAATAACAACCTTTTTAGAAGACAGAATAATTTACAGTGATCATTATCGCATCTCTTTCTTAAAATGAGGAATTTGGCATCACAAGGTAAAAGGATGAATCATTCTTGAAAATTTTGAAATCTCCACGCCATAGATTATCATTTAGAAGTCTGATCTCATGCAAACGCGTCAAAATAAGATTCTTCATGTAGCTGATGCTGATCCTAATTTTTAAAGTCAAATGAAAGTGAATAATGTGGACATATACCCGGCAAGAAAATTGAAGGTGCAACCTTTTAGCGGACTATATGAAGAATTGCTACTTACAGCAATTGTGCAGGCGGCAAACCCAGGTTTCTCCCTGTAATCTACTCTGACACAAAGTAGAATGAAGGCTCCAACATACCAGGGAATAGCAGCAAGAAAGAAACCAATAATAAACCTATTCCAGAGACAACAAATGACGGAAAATTACTGAGCATCATAAATCAGAGAATTTTAGAAATAGATACAAACAAGGAAAAGAGGCTTCTTTGTAGCTAACACTTACAGAAACCAGCCAATACCCAAGCCACAACATGGAAGGCGTTGCATCCTTACTGTCAAAGGTCTTCCTTCAGCGACTCCATTATATACTTGGATATCAACCAACGTAACGAAATTGGGTAAGTACAAGCTGTTTGACTCTTAAGAATATAAGAAAACAATACATAGGAAAAACTTTCGTGGTTCTTAGAAACCGAGATCATCAACCAACTAACTGACCCCTGTAACAGAATATGAACGCTGACACATGGATTTAACGATTTTGACAAGATAGGTCCTTAATTATCTTTGTTTTTATGGAATACCAGTTTTATTGAATTCCTAATGTACCCTCTTAGTACTATACCAAAAGCATACAAACTGTTGTTGCAAGATGATATCATCTCAAGCACGAGGTGATCTATATACCTTGTATAAAGAGGTGATCCAGAAGTAAAAAAGCTTTACTAACATCGCTGAACAGGTTGTTGAATCACTACGCCAAAAGTTGAAAATCCATTGGGATGCCAACTTTCAAAGCTTCTAGTATTCGGAAGTATAAATTAGTCTTTAAAGATAAGATAGTTAGATACAACATCAAAATGTACAAACGATGCAAAGATTGTCTAGAATTTTTAATAAGCAAGCCCAATAACGATATCGCGGTGCACAAGAGCTGACTTGTTTCCTGATCTCCGAGAAACAATTATTATGTTCGACCCTTAATTTAGTTCAAGCATCAACCAATCTAACATGAGATAGTCTCATCATCCTTTCTTTTTCTTTTTCCTTTTTTTGGCATCAACCCGAAGTCATACATCAGGAAAACTATAGGTTGGTTTCTAAATGCCAATGCAAGTTGCATTATCTATTCTTGCCTTCAACTAAGTCAACTTAATCCCAAGCCTATTATGTACTAGTACTCACTTGATATGGCACTACAAATCTACTTCTCGAAACGAAAATAAGCGCTATTTGTGAACGCAAAATCTTATAACATTCTAATGGTGTGGTTGTCGTTCACTAAAAGTATTTGCACCACCTCATTCAGAGAAAATACGAGTTTCCACAGTGAAGGCTGATCTTTACAAAATAATAGATAATCAATAATATAGACATTTAATGATTTGAAGGCGTAGCTGAAGAACCAAAGGACAATTAAATCTCAGACTTTTACTAAACTCTTCTATTTGGCGCTCACCCATAATAACACCCATTAGGTGGACAAGCAATTTCAACCCTAACAATATACTGACTGAGTTAATTAACTACCTAATTGGCAATTGCCGCATCTCTTATTCATTTTGGTTCCTTTTAATTGGAATCGGAATTTGGAAATTGGGGTTTTGTTATTCCCAATAATAATGGTAAGGATCGAATTCATTCGTCAGAAGAATTAATAATACCTGGAATAGGCTGGTACCCATTAGCATAACAGTAGGGGGGCGAGTAAGGGGCGATGTGAGGTTGGCCGTTGCCCGCCCGCCGACGGCGGCGGAGGAACGGGCTGAGGAATTCCCGCCGGCGGCGGAGGATAATAGGATCCGGGTACTTGTTGGAACGTGCCGTAGTATTGCTGGTATTGATGGACGATCCTTCTCTCCTCTTCGCTCATCTTCGTCTTCTTGTTGAATTCTGTTAACTACAGGGATGATTTCAATCCTATTTTCTTCGTATTTTTGTTGAATCCTTCAAGTCAATAGTCTGTTTACTTCATTAAGATGATGAACACACAGTTAGGAGCACCATATTAGTAGGGGAAAACTTCTGAACAGGTATTCATATTAAAATTAGTTACCTTTTCAAAAACAGTTTTGGTGCCTCGAAGACGTATGAGGTTAAGAAAGTTATAAGAAATTGGAGGTGCATATCTCGCGACCATTGTGGAAAAGATATTTAATTTTTGCCATAATGGTGAGATTCTGTATAATTCATAAAGGATATAGTATGAAATAACTTCGGTGAAGAAACTTACGAACAAATCATAAGCAAGCGGACTGAGTTTGTCTGTCGTGGTGTTAATGAATAGAACATCAGCATCCCAATCTTGAATAAGGAATAGTATGTGCAGATGCACATGTACATCAGAGGAACAAATGCTGCTATCTGCAAAACATCCACAATCATTGAGAGAGAAAAAAACGTAAGCAAGATTTCTAAACTTAATAGTTGATATGGGTAAAGCCCTCAGGCAGATATATGATGCATTTTCTAATAGTAGATACTGTAAATTTTTTGGAGTTGAGGAAGCATGAAATGTAATTTCAGAATGAACAACACTATCTGATCGTACAAGGATATGGTGGATGCTTACTTTTGTCAAATTAGATTTTGGTGAAAGCATAGACATCAACTTATGACAAATTTTCAAAACCACCCCTTTTGCGATTTTATTCCCAAAAAACGACCTCTTTCCTCTTTATTTGTAAAAACCAGGTCGGTTTTTACAAAAAAAGTTCCGAAACTTCATGGGAGTTCAACTCCCGTGAAGTTTAGCAGCTTAATTAAATAGCTGTTAAACTTCACGGGAGTTGAACTCCCGTGAAGTTTCTTAGTTAAAAAAAAGTTGAGTTGTGGAACTTCACGGGAGTTGAACTCCCGTGAAGTTTAGCATCTTAATTAAATGATTGCTAAACTTCACGGGAGTTCAACTCCCGTGAAGTTTCAGAACTTTTTTGTAAAAACCGACCTGGTTTCAGCCCTGAGGCTGAAACCAGGTCGGTTTTTACAAATAAGTGGGAAAGGGGTCGTTTTTTGGGAATAAAATCGCAAAAGGGGTGGTTTTGAAAATTTATCCCATCAACTTAAATCAGGCCAACAAATCTAGGATGACAACGAGACATTATGAGAGACTGACATGGGAAGCCTTTTCATTTGCAAAAGAATATACACACTTGATGAACTGTAAGCTTAAGTGTCACATCCGTCCTTCCAATCCTTAAATCGTTCTATGAAATAATAAAATGTAAATCAGTGTACATGTTGTCTAAGCTCAATAGTAGGATAGAACAGGATGTTCTATGAAATAATAAAATGTAAATCAGTGTACATGTTGTCTAAGCTCAATAGTAGGATAGAACAGGATAAAACTTCCATAATGTGTCAAACAGATGCTGTACATGTTGTCTAAGCTCAATAGTAGGATAGAACAGGATAAAACTTCCATAATGTGTCAAACAGATGCCGAACAATATGTGCTACATATAACAAAAAGAATGTGTTAATACAATGTAAGTATCTAAAAGACACAACATTTCTCGCCTCACAGATTGGAGTAGGCAGAACAGAGTTCCACTAACCTATAGGGAATGATAAAATACTTACCTGTCATAACTAAAATTTGGAACCTACAGAATAGAAGCCTAGAATGCCTGATAAGGTGGATTTTTCAGCAATTTACACACAGCAGGTACAGTCATAATCTGATGACACACTAACTAATAACAAGAGTTTATCCAAGATTGCAAGTAAGAAAAATAATCTGGCATACATGGGACTATCTGATGGAAAAGTTTCATCCCTAATTAGTCATGATATAAACATGGAAAATTTTATAACATATGCACAAAAATAAATTATGCTTCCGAAAATTTACCTGTCCCACCATCTCCTGTTTACCCACTGCGTTTATAAGAATGGAGAAAAAAGATAGATCAACTCCACTTGGCAAAATTGTAGCCTCGGCCAAGAGAATAGCAGCTGACATGCAACCAAGCACTACAGCTAAGAGTTTCTCCAGTTGCTTCCTTAGTATGCAACGCCATACCAGCTCTGAAAGATCCAACAGTCTCGATTTCAAAATCAGCAAAGTAGATTACATCTTTGGAAATCAGTGTATTTACCATCTACTTGAGACTAGAGAGGGTATTTAAGGATACTCAAAACTAAAAGCTACTATTCTTTAAGTATGAATTGCATCCCACCTAAGGAAGTAGGAATTGCAGCCGAACGAAAGAGCGCAGTCTATAATTTTCTTCATTTAATGGTGAAATACAGATTGAACCAGTACATATTGTATCAAGAAAATAACTATTAAAGACAGAAGTTGCTAATTTATGCATTACTCAGAAATGAAGCCTGTTCTGTGAGTAACCATCATAGCAAACCTCCAGTGGTTTATATTTTCCTGTCTAAAGGTGAGATATAACTTGGACTGGGTACCTATTGTATCAAGAAAGGACCCAAACTTGCCAGCATGTCTTCCTCTTAAACTTGAAACGTATCTCCTGCAGTGATAGCAACATTTAAACATAATGCCAGATAAATCATCATAACAGACATATACACATTGCTCACAAACTTGTGATATCCAACAAGATGAAATTGTTTCTCTCATTGGGTGGGATAGAAGGTAACATTATAAGATTCATGCTGCTTCATTCTAATCAATATGACCTCTTCAGATACTCATTTAGGTTTCAAGAGTTGGGATTCCTGAACTATTGGTTCTAGCAGATAGTTTATTTGGAAATTGTGATTGACTCTGTGTATAGCCATGTCAAAGTTTCATCTCAGATTTGATCATAGCTAACTAAGAGAGGGACGTAACAAAGAGGACATACAGAAGAAAACATTAGTGCGACATGATTAGGGGGAAAAAGATAATTAGAGGAAAAAATTGTTCTTGTATCATAATATTATTATATCCTCTAACTCACTGTGTTAAGAAAGGTGCACAGCCATCATAACTAGAAGACATCATACCATTCAGTAGCGTTGCGAAGTTCATAATTCTTCACTGTATCTTCCACTTCCAGCTCAAGGGCCTCCATGACAGAGGCAACGTATTCACTACAAGAGGTTGAGATAAACCAGTCAGGATCAATTTGAATGGATACAAAAAGCTTACGATATTGTTTTAAGCACATCAAGCACATGGAAGAGAAAATTCAGATTCTCTCTAGTCTCAAGTGTAGAAATATGCAGTAGTCCTTCCAAATCTGCACTTAGTATATACTTTAATGACCCACACGTATTTGAAGTGCACCATAAAATTGTACCTCCTGTATCTGTAATACTCCTCTTGAGCTTTTCTAAGCCGCCGCCTAAGTGCAGCCATGGTTTTGTCATCGGTATCATAATCCATATCATTCTCTCCAAACATACCGCCAGATGGCTTAAAAGAAGGATCTTCCCGGATCTGAAGAATGTAAACATATCAATTAATATTTTTATGAGTTCCAACTTAATAAAATTTGAAAATGACATTAAAATACCATTTGAAGCAGCATCCTGTCAATGACATCCATGTATCGTCTTAAAAAGTCACGCTTGGATATTTGCTTTGATGTTGCTTGTGCAATCTGACAATATGACTGTTGTCAACCACATGAGCATATCTAAATATCGCTGATAATTTTTTTATAAAGAGCTGGAAGAAATCACAAGTACTGTCTCCCACAGCCGCTGGGTGGACTAGGATAGCCCGCAAATATTTCAAATAAGTAGATAGGGTTATACATTTACCATAACTAATTACATATGAACGACTTCATATTGAATAAGATAGAAACATAAAAAGAAAAGCAATACGAGAAACATTTAAATAATTAGATAGAGTTATACAATTACCACGATAGAAACATAAAAAGAAAAGCAATACGAGAAACATTTAAATAATTAGATAGAGTTATACAATTACCACAATCACATTTGAAAATTCCTGATGAGCATAGAAACATTTAAATAATTAGATAGAGTTATACAATTACCACAATCACATTTGAAAATTCCTGATGAGCATTATCAAGGTTCACAGCCATTTTCGCAACCCTATGGGAGAGAACTTTTTGGCGGTTACTCCAATCTGCATTCCTCCAGATGCTCTTTGGTATTTCACTCAGACCAAAACCAAAAAGAAATGCACCAGTTACGAGCCCAAAGGTATTTGAACAGGCCATGGAAAATCCCACAATACCACCGCTCCTATCAATAAGACAGTTTTAAGAAATTAACATTGGATAACATGGTCTTAAATATCATCCTTAGCAAATGTTTAGAAAACTGTAATAAATTCTCAAAGTTAACAAAGAAATTTCTAATAAATTAAAATTTCTCTAAATGTTCTCTTAAAACACAGCAAACATTTAGTGAGATTTTTTTATTTTTTATTTTTACTCTTGTAAATCATCTTAGCACTTTATAATCCACGTTGCAGTACCTGAAAAATCATGACTAATTATTGACTACTTCTATGATGATCTAAATGCAAGTTTACTAGTTCAAATCAGAGGATGCTACAAAGTTCAGATCCTGTAAGTGTCTTTTGTCGCTGTCTAACCGTTAATATATTAAGAAATATAACAGAAGAAATGGGTAATAGTCCCTAGTGTCTTTTGTCGCTGTCTAACCGTTAATATATTAAGAAATATAACAGAAGAAATGGGTAATAGTCCCATCTAAATGTTTCAAATGACAGAAAGTTAATATATTAAGAAATATAACAGAAGAAATGGGTAATAGTCCCATCTAAATGTTTCAAATGACAGAAAAATGATAACAATAAAGTACAAGAAAACTGGGTAAAAGTTGCTCAAGTCACCAGGATTCACCATTAAGTGTCAACTATGGGAGCATTTATCTTAGAAAATTGATTGGAAAAGAAATTATAGCAGCACCTAATCAAGCATTCCTACAATTAAAAATAACACGTGTAAACTATAACACAGAAGATACTTGCTGAGGCTGGAAAAGGCATAGAGAATCACATCTATGTTCAAGGCAACAAAGCTAATGGCGCTGATGCTTTGAGTTAGAAGAATTATCACATGCCAGAGGATTCCAGCAGGGAATGTGTGTTATGTACATAAATGGTTTATTACGAATAAAGTAAACACTAGTAGGAAATACATATTGAGGAATGAAATTTGGGAATCAGAGACAAAAACATCAGCAAATCTTTCGCCTTTTGCCAGAGAGGTACAAATATTGCAGGAATAAATAGATAAACTAGGTTGTCCATAAACTAAATACAACAAAGTGCCCACACAAACCCACACCAATATATATACCTAATTATACTTATATAGTCACTTGTTGTATCCATGCCATACTCATATGCCATAGAATTCCAAATCTGTCATAACGCTGTGTTCAGACAGTGTCACACTTGCATCCCACGTAAGTAAATAGATTATAGATTAGTAAAACTTGCCTAAACCATGTGTTAGTAATGTCTTTTTCTCCTTTGCTTCCCATTTAGGTGTTATGCACAGGTGCGGATTTTGTAGATTGGAAGGACACTGCTGCATCCATGCCATACTCGTATGCCATAGAATTTCAAAACCTGCCGTAACGCTGTGTTCAGACAGTGTCACACTTGCATCCCACGTATGTAAATAGATTATAGATTAGTAAAACTTGCCTAAACCATGTGCTAGTAATGTATTTTTCTCCTTTGCTTCCCAATTAGGTGTTATGCACAAGTGTGGATTTGTAGATTGTTAAAAGATCCTGCCACTACACCAAAACTCTGCAAGTTGTGGTGAGAGCTGAGGGTTATATTTTTATATTCTAACGTGCCCCCATAGGTTGTAGGCCCTTTTATAGGCAAAAATTTAGATCCACGCAGAGGTGTCGATTTTTAGAAAATCCGCTTTAACTTTGTGGCATATAGGGTTTGGACCTGGGTTGTTCTGATACCATGTCAAAGGACCCGCCACCTATGAAGCACGGACACGCATAACATGAAGCCGTGTCGTGTCGTGTCCGTGTCGGACACACGTGTCGAACACACGTATCCTATGTATTTTTTAGGATTTGCCTCGTGTCGGCGTGTCGGATGGCCGTGTCGGATCCGTGTCCGTGCTACATAGCCCGCCACCACACAAAACTCCAAAGTTGTGGTGAGGGTTGAGGGTTATACTTTTATATTCTAATATAGAGTAAACAATAGCATGATGTAAAATGAGGAAGAGAACATGGGAACCAAATTAAAAGGGGAAGGACAAGTTTGACTCATAAAATCATTAGCACTGAAACTCATTTTCCTAATCTCATGTTTTGTCCATGCTCCAACTCCAGGCTCCAGCATTGAAAATTGTGGATCTTATTTAGAAAACTTGCAGTACACTTATAGTCACTATATGGGAAGCTTCTGCCCTAATTTCTGATTGTCCAAAAATGATATCCTAAGACTTCCATAAGACATGAATAACACTGTTGTAGGCCAAATTGCACTGATCCTTCCACCATCTTGATTGGCCTGGACATTGTAAAAGTAGCACTAGCAGACATTTGTAATGAAGGCATAAGGGCATTATGTAAATTGCAATAAGGAAGATCAGATCATTAACTTGGAAAAAGTGAAGAGAGCAACTTGATTAGAAGATTGAAACTTCCTTTCATATATTGTTTGGTGTACGCATTTGTTCCAAAGTGCATAAGCTTTCATGACAAGAGGAATGTTTTAGAACACAGTAAATGCTAAGAGAAACATTATAAGTGGGTGCAGGTTTTCAGGATATATTTGCTTTCGAAGAAACTTAGAGCAGGAAAACATGTTTCTTTGCGAGAAAATTCTAGGTACATTTCTTTACTAAATCATTGAAAACCCTCCCACAATGACAAATGCTGGATTCTTTTTTCCGTTCTTTTTCAGTCTTTACTAAATCATTGAAAACCCTCCCACAATGACAAATGCTGGATTCTTTTTTCCGTTCTTTTTCAGACCTACATCTTTTCTCACCTTCTATGCTGCCAACCACAAATATCTTAGTAGTGAATGCAACGAAGAAAGACAATAAGGCACAACATCTAAATTCCTAACTCATGATACATTAGCAGTTTCACGTGAATTAAAAGGAAAAGTAACAAAAAGGACGTTTTTGTGAAGACATAAGAGACAGACCAGTTTCCATGCATAATGACAAGCAGAATAAGCCCAAGAAGGCCAATCGAACCCACACACGTGTAAAAGAATAAGTTATATCGCATGCTAGTTTTTAGTCTTTCAGTCATCGTGAAATCTCCAGCATCTTCATAACCCTGAATAGTGGGAACCACAGCCCTGAGTGATAAGCATAACTTCAATATGAGGATATATGCATTAATGAGTATCAAATAAAATATACATTTAACAAACAAGAATACTGGACATACTGTAATATTAAGCAATGACTAAAACAAAATGCATGGTTTCCGTTGTAATGCCACAAAAGCAGAATATCGTAAAGGAGAAACTACAGACATAGTTCAAGAACCAAATTGTAGATAAGCATAGTACAACAACAAGAAGAAGAAAGACTGTATCCCAAATGTTTGGGGTCATCTACAGGAATCATCATATTCTTCTATGCTGTTCTATTCCCGTAGGATTCATCTGCAAGAATCCTATTTTTCTCCTGTTCTATTCCCATAGTATTCTAGTTGTATATTATGTTTAGTTCACTAGTACTAAAATGCTTCACCATGCTCAGATGAATTTTTGCTTGTTACATGGTGGATAATTCTATTCCAATGAATGAATATTACAAGGTTTAGTTTCAACCCATACCTAACAATTTCTTACATAAGAAATCAATTATAACTTGGTACGTAAATTTACACTCGTCAACACTAAAAAATTACACCCATACAGGTAATTGTAGGGGTGTAAGGGCCCAAAAAACTAAATAGCTAATACTAATATGCTTGAATCCATATTGATTCATTTAATCCGCTAGTCAAATCGTGAATTCAAAAATATTTTACTATTTATCCAACTAATTATCTTCCAAATGAAGTATTAAATCCAACTTCATGTCTTTGCAATACCCCTTTTTTCATGTGCATTTGCACAGGCCATTATTCTAGTATTTTCTAAAAGAATGGTGGTTCCTGCCAGCGATAGGCAGCACCTTACATAACATCTTTCTAAACATAGTTGAAGACCCCATGATGAATAGTCCCAAATTGGATATGTGCTAAAGACATATAAGGGATCCAATAAAACTCAAAGGAGTAATCTTATAGCTAACACTTTTGTGGAAGAAATAATGGTAAAACCTCCATAAGCAGGGCGATTTTGAGAGGAGAAAGACTAGGAACGCTGACTTCATAGGAAGTTCTCAACGGTGTTGCACGTGGGAAAGAGCCAAAACTGGAGAAAATATCTATAAAATAATAAACTAGATTTCTACAATATTTTGCCAACTTTGTATCCTCATTTGGTGCAAAATCTTTGCGAAGATTCTTGTGAGGAGAAAGAAACCCATGCACATAACCGTTTTTTCAGATATACATAAAACTTGAATGTTCCACATAAAAGTTAAGTTATATAGCTACTATTAGCAAATGGTAAATTCTTTCTATTAATCACTTCAAGTTTATAAGATGAAAACCAAGAAACCTTCATAAAGGAATTTACTGAAGTTTCACTGTATGCAGTAATCTTAATGAATTCTTTATTAAATTGGTTTCAAGTCCATGCCCAAAAATATTACAAGACAAAAAGGCCCACACCATAATTCTTATATTCATAAGTAAAACGTACCATGTTATGATAGAAAAATTAAGGAGTATAAATTTAAGAAAGGGTTTTTTCATAGAAATCAGAAAGGGTTTTTTCATAGAAACCACCTTTAAAATACGGTCATTCTATAGAATCCACTTTTGATCTTCAAATTACACATAAACCACCTTTAAAGTACTTTTTGTTGCTATCAAACACATGGACTCACTTTTAAGTCAAGTTTTTTCGGTTTTTATGTTATAATTAGTTGCCAAATACCAAGTATATTATGGACTCACTTTTAAGTCAAGTTTTTTCGGTTTTTATGTTATAATTAGTTGCCAAATACCAAGTATATTAGAGAGATGATCTTTAATGGAGGTTAGGTGGTTTTTATGTTATAATTAGTTGCCAAATACCAAGTATATTAGAGAGATGATCTTTAATGGAGGTTAGGTGGGATCAATTACGAAAAAAATTTAAATAAAAAGTGGGCCTAGGTGGTTGATTGCAACAAAAAAATGCTTTAAAGGTGGCAATTTATAAATTGAAAATCGAAGGTGGTTTCTATAGAATGACCATATTTTAAAGGTGGTTTCTATGAAAAAAAACCCTTTCAAAAACAAATGGTCATTTTCCATACGAATTTTGTAGATTTTATAAGACAAGAAACCGATGGGGTAAAAAAGGTATTTTAATAACCAATGGTCATTGATTGATATAACGACAGACAAAGGCCACATAATAAGAGAAATTTGCATAGCTATCAGGATGATTAAATATACCAGGTCAATGCAAAAGTACTCCAATACGACCAGCCCCAAAAGAAAGCTATACCCCCCTTTTCCTGGCCAACTACTGTCTGCAAGGAAATGGAGGTATAGCTAATGGTTAGTTTTAAGAATGAAACATGAGCACAATTTATCAAAAAAATAAACCAAACAAAAGCACGGAATGCAAATTCATATCGCTATTGCAGTGAGCAACAAAAAGGTTAGGGAATTCCATACAAACATATGATGGCGGAAAAGCACACAACCGTAAAGTTACCTATCCTTCTCGTTTTCAGTGTAGTGAAGAAATCTCAACATTATAGAACAAATAACTTAATCAGGTTTGTCTTCTTCTTTTTTGTTTTTTTTTTGTTTTTTTTTGGGGGGGGTGGAGTCGTCCATGTTTTATAGCAAGCAAACTCTATTCAGTGAGCACAACCTATCAGACTGAAAAGAGTGCTGTGATGAAGAAAATATTTCTTTTTCTCTCAGCCTTGGTGATGATAATTGAATGAAACACTATTCTTTGCTGTCTTAGGCGTTAAATCGTCTGATATATCTTGTTTGTCCACCACTCACAAGATACAGCCTTTGGCTAAAGCGATTATTTTCAGTGCATTGGATTTGTAGGAATTCAAACTTCAAATCTCGCCAATTAGAATTCAATATATGTTTATTACCCTTGTCTATTCTTCCTTTCAATCGCTTAAAGCGGCCTGAAAACACGCACAAGTAGCATTAAGTTCGCTTGAATATAACAGTAGCTCAGAACACATCAATTTTACTTTAGGTAAAATGCTTCCCGCCATTTCTCAATCGAGCTTAGCATGCCATATAAAAGCAAAGTCAAAACATGCTCTATATGGTATATACTCCATGGCATAACACTCTGTCATTAGTCTTTGCACAAAGCTTTCCACTGTCAGAAACGAGATTTATATGCTTGCTGTTCCACGAGTTGAAGACGCAGCTGAGATGCTTCTTCAAGAAATCCAGACACTTCCTAAAGAAATGCCGTCAGTTCTCCCGTTGGTTCAGTTAATTAAGATCTCTTATTCTGATGCAGAAATCTCGAGGAATTGTACTTGCAGATGAAGCATGCTTACATTTAACATTTCCTTTAACAATAATATATCAAGGGTTTTTAGCAAAACAAAATCAATATGTCAAAGATTTACCGCAAGTGACGCCCTCAAGATCTTATGTTCAATAATCAACAAGGAAATATGCATTGCTTGTCAAAAGGTTTTCAATTTCTAACTGCATAGAGCAATAGTTACATTCCACAATTTCTCCCTCTTGAAGTTGAAAATTGCGCAGTCTTCTTTCTGTCCCATTTAAAACTCTAGGATTGTCCGCAATGAATATGCAAGGTTAACCATATTGAACGCAGAAAATCCACAGGCATTCTAATTTCTACAGGTTTTTTGCCCAATTTTTGCTTATTTATAAAAGCACAAGCAAAATTTTACACTGAAACTGAAAGGTGAAAGCAACCTATCACCAAAAAAAGTCTTCTATAATCTCAAAATAAAATCATGAAACTAGCAAAAGTTATCAAATACCTAAACAAAACATCTTAACCTTCAAATGCGTAGATTTACTTCACAAAATGGCACAAAATGGCACACAGGCAAACCTTCAAAAATTAGAAAACATCAACTTTGTTAATCATTATTTAACAAAAGAAAAAAAAACACATTCAAAAAGCACAAATGTCGGATTATTCATTTAGAATAAGGCAACAGAATTGAAAACCTAGCTGAGCATTGAAAGAAAATGCGTCAAATTTGCCGAGGGTGAGCACGGATCTTACAGTCCATATGTCGGCGGGGACGATGATGATGATCGAGATGGAGCAGAACCAGGCGTACCCGACGGCGAGCAGCACGTACGTCGGCACGTGCGGCCCCGCGAAGTACCGCAGCGTGAACGTCACCATACTGAGGGTGAGCGGAAGCGAGATCAAGTAAAACACCCACATTTTCCTTTTTTTTTTCTTTTTTCTTGTTTTCCCCCCTTTCGAATTTCGCTCTCTCGCCCACCTCCTTCCCCTATGGAAGCGGGTCGGATTTGGAGAAGTTGGGATCCGATAAGAAAATGCAAGGGAAAAAGAAAACGGAGAACGGAGGGAAGGAGCGGATCGTGGAACGCGAGGCAGCGTACCGGGAGCTGCGTTTTGTCGGGCAGCGTGCGGGGAAGTGACGGTAGCGCGCGGGTTTAGGTCCGGTCTGCTGTCTCGCGGCTACCAGATGAAGAGTCAGTTGGTACCAACGGTCGGATGGATTCGACATGTACCCTTTTTTCGTTTTTCTGTTCTTTCTTTTTTATCTTTTTAGGGCTTGTTTGGTTATTTCCTAAAAAATCAAAAAATAGAAATAAAAACCAAGAAATCTTAAAAAGTATAATTTTACACATTTTTATTTTTAAAACTCACCCATAACATCTAATAAAATATTATTTTTATCCAACAACTCATCCATCGCATCCATCACATCTAATAAAATATTATTTTCATCCACAACATCACTCGACTCATTTCATTTCATATTTAAAAATCACTCACATTTACATTTAATGTGGAAATCATAATTATTTAAAAGTATTACAATAAGAAAGTTTATATTATGTATTTGAATGAAATGACCAAATATTCCTTAAAGTGGTGGTGAATTCTCATCTCCATTCCATAAAGTATCAATTTGTCTATTTTCATCCTTAAACTATGTTTATGTGTCCAATACGATTATTTTGTGAGTTTATAGTTTAATATTTAATAGACTAATGGTGTGCTATTTTTTATTTATGTAGTTTAAAAAATAGTTTTTTTTTCATTCATAAAAAGGGTTAAAGGGTTAAAAGTTATGGGAGGAAGTAGTTAACAATTTTTTTAGATTAAGGGGGGAAGAAACAACAACAACAACAATAAACAAATATTTATTCTAAATGTTTGAATCGTATTCTTCCATTCCATTTTGTTATAGGTCACCTCCTCCGTTAAGTTAGTTCTAATCATATCATTCTTAATTGCTTCTAACCAAGTTATTCTAGGTCTACCTCCAGATCTCCTAGCCCCCATTAACTATAATATTATCTACTTTCCTAATCGGTGCACTAAGCAATCTCCGTTGTACACGCCCAAACCATCTTAATCTATTCTCTCTTATTTTATCCTTAATAAGAGCAACATCTAATTTACTACGGATGCACTCATTTCTTATCCTATCTTTTAGTATATACTCATAAGACCATCGTAACATTATTATTTCTGTTACACTCATTTTTTGAACATGTACTTTTTAAATTGTCCAACAGTCTGACCCATAAAACATAGTTGGTCTTATAACTTTTCTATAGAATTTTTCCTTTAGTTTCATTGGTATTCTACGATTACATAAGACTCACAAAGTACTCCTCCATTTCAACCATCCCGATTTAATTCAATGCACAACATCATCCTCTATCTCATCATCATACCTAATTATTGATCCTAAATAGCGAAAATGATTAGTTTTAGGTGTTTCTTGACCATTAATATGTACCATGGGCTCTCTTCCTTTCCTAGTTTTCCTAAAAATACACTCCATATTTTATATTTTTGTTCTACTAATTCTAAAACATTTAGATTCTAGAGCTTCTCTTAATCTTTCTACTTTAGAAATAATGTCTCTTCTAGTTTCATCAACTAACATTATATCATCGACAAATAACATATACCATGGAATTTCATCATGAATGTACTTAGTAAGTTGGTCCATAACTAATGAGAAAAGATAAGGACTTATAGCTGATCCTTTGTTGTAAACCTATAGTAATAGAAAATGGTTTAATTTCTCCTTCATTAGTTCTTATTCTAGTTGTTACCCTATCATATATATGTTTAACCACATCAATATATATACTAGTTACATGTTTCTTTTCTAAAACCCACCACATTACCTCTCTAGACCCTCTATCATACATTTTTTCTAGATCGATAAAAATCATATGTACATCATTTCTCTTCTTTCTATATCTGTTCATCAATTGTCTTAAAATATGTATAATTTCATAGTTGACCTCTCAAGCATAAAATCAAATTGATTTTCAGATATACTTATTTCTTTTTTTAGTCTTTGCTCAATTACCCTCTTCCAAAGTTTTATAGTATGACTCACGAATTTTATACATAGATAATTTGAACAACTTTGTACATCTCCTTTATTATTATATATCAGTATTAAAGTATTAATCCTCCACCCATCCGACATTCTTTTTGTCTCGATAATCTTCTTAAATAGTTTAGTTAATCATCCTAAGCTTATATCTCTAATATATTTCTAAACTTTAATAGGGATACCAACCGGTCTTACGGCTCTTTCACTTTTTATTTTCATTAGAGCATCTTTAATCTCGCTAATTCTAATTTTTTTGATAATATCTATAGTTCCTATCATTTGCTATATAGTCAAAATCTCTATCTTGCTCACTTGTTTGGTTATCATTAAACAATTGATGAAAGTAACTTCTCCACCTCTCTTTTATTTCCCCGTCGGTCACTAGAACTCTTTAATCCTCACTTTTAATACACCTAATAATATCCAAAACTCTACTCTTCCTTTCTCTAATGTTAGCAAGCTTATATATATCTTTCTCTCCCTCCTTAGATTCTAATTTCTTATAAAATATTTCATAAGCCTTATATTTATTCTCACTAACCTTACTTCATTCCTTACTGGTTTATATTTTTCCAAGTTTTTTCTACTCCTACACATTTACCACTCTTTATATAAAGTTTTCTTTTCTCTAATAACCTTTTGCACACTCTTATTCCATCACCAACTCTCCTTACCGTCTAATCTACAACATTTAGATTCTCCTAGCATATCTCTAGCCACTTTTCTAATATATGAAGACATGATATTCCACATAATATTACTCTCATTATCTATATTTTATATATATTCTTTCATTATCTTATCTTTAAAATGCATTAAATTCTCTCCTTTTAATTTCCATCATTTAGTTCTTAGTTTATTGTTCACATTAGTTTTTCTATTCCACTTCTTAATAAATATGTCTAAGATCATCAATCTATATTGTGTACTTCAACTCTCTCCTGGTATAACTTTACGATCTTTGTATATTAACCTATCCGTACTTCTAGTAAGAAAAAAGTTCATTTGACTATTATTAAAACTATTTTTAAAGGTTATTAAGTGTTTATCCCTTTTTTTTTCTAAAAAAGTGTATTTGCTATTATCAAATTATACAATATTGCAAACTTTAAAATCAATTTACCCATATCGTTCTTATCTCCATACCCGAAGTCTCTATGTATCCTCTCATATCCGTTATTATCCTTACCAACATATACCCATTAAGATCCCCTCTTATAAATAATTTCTCTCCAAATGAGATTCATTGTACTAATTCATCTAATCTATCTTAAAATTCCCTTTTACTACTCTCAGGCAAGCCTATTTGTGGTGCGTAATCTACACATAAGATAATTTGTATTAGTATTAAGGGAAATTTGCTTCCAGCCCCCAAAAGTCAAGTGAACGTGCTTCTCACCCCCAAGACTTGGTCAATAGGTGTTTTACCCCTAAAAATAAAGATTTTGTTCTCTGAGCCCCCAAAACATAAAACCCAAGACATTAAAACATGTGAAGACCATAATACCCTTCTCTCTCTCTTTCTTTTTTTATTAAAATATGATGGGGATTATTTTATTTTTTTTTCTCTCTCTCTCTCTCTTTATCATGATGTACCAAGAGGATAGTTGAAATGATTGATGAAGATTATTTTATTATTTTTGTTTTTTATTATTTTCGTTGTTTGTATTGGGAGGTTGTTAAAGTTACGGGTTGATTGTTAAGGTTACGGGTTGGTTGTTAAGGTTAAGGGTTTGTTGTTAAGGTTATGAATCCTCTCTCTCTCTCTCTCTCTCTTTTTATTAAAATATGATGGGGATTATTTTATTATTTTTGTTTTCTCTCTCTCTTTATCATGATGTACCAAGAGGATAGTTGAAATGATTGATGAGGATTATTTTATTATTTTTATTTTTTATTATTTTCGTTGTTTGTATTGGGAGGTTGTTAAAGTTACGGGTTGATTGTTAAGGTTACGGGTTGGTTGTTAAGGTTAAGGGTTTGTTGTTAAGGTTATGAATCCTCTCTCTCTCTCTCTCTTTCTTTTTTTATTAAAATATGATGGGGATTATTTTATTATTTTTTGTTTTCTCTCTCTTTTATCATGATGTACCAAGAGGATAGTTGAAATGATTGATGAGGATTATTTTATTATTTTCGTTTTTTATTATTTTTTTTGTTTCTATTGGGAGGTTGTTAAAGTTACGGGTTGATTGTTAAAGTTACGGGTTGGTTGTTAAGGTTAAGGGTTTGTTGTTAAGGTTGTGAATCCTCTCTCTCTCTCTCTCTCTCTCTCTCTCTCTCTCTCTATCATGATGTTTCTTTCATGATATGAAATGATTAAAGAGGATTATTATTTTATTATTTTTGTTTTTTATTATTTTTGTATTTTTAGAATATTTGTTGTTAAGAATAATGGTTGGTTGTAAAGGTTATGCATTGATTATTAAGGTTACGGGTTGGTTGTTAAGGTTAAGGGTTTGTTGTTAAGGTTATGTGTTTGTTGTGTAGGTTACGTATTTGTTGTTAAGGTTACGAGTTTAATTATTAATGTTACGGGTTTAATTGTTAAGGTTAATAAAAAATAAAAATAATAAAATAATCCTCATCAATCATTTCAACTATCCTCTTGGTACATCATGATAAAGAGAGAGAGAGAAAACAAAAATAATAAAATAATCCCCATCATATTTTAATAAAAAAAGAAAGAGAGAGAGGATTCATAACCTTAACAACAAACCCTTAACCTTAACAACCAACCCGTAACCTTAACAATCAACCCGTAACTTTAACAACCTCACAATACAAACAACCAAAATAATAAAAAACGAAAATAATAAAATAATCCTCATCAATCATTTCAACTATCCTCTTGGTACATCATGATAAAGAGAGAGAGAAAACAAAAATAATAAAATAATTCCCATCATATTTTAATAAAAAAAGAAAGAGAGATAGAAGGGTATTATGGTCTTCACATATTTTAATGTCTTGGGTTTTGTGTTTTGGGGGCTCAGAGAACAGATTCTTTATTTTTAGGGGTAAAACGCCCATTGACCAAGTCCTGGGGGTGGGA